GTCTAAGCTATATCAGGGACTGCCTTCTCCCATACAATCCTCCCCGCGCTCTCCGATCCTCTGGGAGGAACCTGCTGCAGCTTCAAAAAACCAGGCTTGCAGGGACCTCCCAGAGGGCTTTCTCTGTTGTCGCCCCCAGACTCTGGAATGGCCTGCCGGATGAGATCCATCAATTAACATCTCTGGATAGCTTTAAAAGGGCTGTCAAGACAGATCTCTTCCGGCAGGCCTTTCCAGATTAAATTACCCGGCCTTGAGACTTGAGACCTTGAGACTTGCAACTGACTGTTCTCTAAAATATTTGATAAATTCCCTTTCGCAGGGTAATTAATTGGTTGGTATGAATTTTTTTAAATAATTTAGTTGTATTCTGTTTTAAACTTGATTTGATTTAATTGTTTTTTAAAGGGGGGAGGGGGGAATGCTGTGTTTTAGACTGTATTCTTTGTATATTGTATTTTATTATGTTCACCGCCCGGATTAGTTCGCCATAGGGCGGTATACAAATAAAAATTATTATTATTATTATTAACTCTTTGTATCCCAAAGATCAGTAAATCAAGTAACTAAATAAATACACTTATACTTGGAAATAAAATATTTTGAAGTTAACAAGATTTATTTTTAAGCATACAAATGATCTTGTTTGAATGCTAATATTACTAATAGAGAGGCAGTGAATTGTAATAGTTCAGTTGCAACATTGATTTCAATAGGACCTATATGCAGCCATTTTTTTCAGAATGAGTTTACTTTACTGTTTCAGCTCTAGTATTGTTTCTTCTTTTGTTGTTTTTCCCTACAGGTTCATCTCAAAGAAAGTATTTTTTCACTTAGCTGTCCAACGCCCAATAATCTATGATGGAAGTGATTTTCCATAGCCTTGAATATGTGTAATATTTATATACTTCATTTTTTTCAAATTGTATTTTAAAAAAACACTATTATTTATATATATACATGAGAGCACTAATATTACAGATATGTCTGAAGCCCTGTTAGAGTTATGCAATAATTTTTTTAAAAACCACTTAACATGTAAGCACTTACAAAAAGGAATCTAACTTTCATAAGAACACTAATGATTCTGGCTTACATGCCAGTTGTTCACAAGCCATTTTGTTTATCTAAATGAAAAAAATAGCTATGCAGTGCTTTGTTTGGTGCAAGAATGGCGCACAATCCATATATACCTTTTCAAAGGGCTAAAAAATATGAAATGTGCTTTTGGTTTGTTAGGTTGGAAGTTTTATATAAAGATTTTAAAATACCGTTTCTTCTGCTGTTAGTTATTTTCTATTAAATGCTGCAAAAGAGATGGAATTCAAGTCCAGCTCTGCAAAATCAAAATTATTATTTTTTTAAATAGGGGAGGGTTCAGGCTAGACATGTTCTTTATGCAGGAAGCTGGCAGTTAAACTCCAGGCAATTTGTTGGATGGTCATTGCACAAGACTTTTGCAGAGTGATTGTTCATGCCTTTCTAATTCCCAAACACAGTTTATTGCTGTGTGATCACAACTATACATTGTGTGAAAGTGATTCTGGGCCAGCTAACTGTTTAGGTAGCTTCGGATGTTTATAAAAATATACCAGCATTGATTTGTTCCTTGACAAGGGAACATTCCTACTCTTCTAGCAGTCCCAATCCTTTGAAGCAAAGGATATTTCACAACTTGGTTGGCAAGTGAAACCTAAATGCTTTATGTGGACTCAAGCTTCATTCATTTTGGTGGGATATATTTCCATAAGAAATGTATAGAATTAGTGTATAGAAAAGTTATTTTTGAAGACTGCAGCTTCCAGGATGCTGAAATATTCTAGGAGCTGTTGAAAAAAGCAAATTTGCTGATCAAGATAGTAATATCACAGAGCCAACTTTGAAATCAGTAAAAAAAAAAAAAAGCCTCTAATTTAAAACTATAGAATATGAATGTGGGGTTTTTGTTCTAATTTGCTTTTACTATTTCATAATATAGCAAACTTTTTCTAATAATGGTGTATCAGTTGGTCCAGGTAATATTAGCAAAATGATGTAGTATTTTTTAGATGGTCACATTTTTTTGCTCTTCAATGCTGTTAGGAATAAAACAGGCCTGAATTTCACTAGCTCCAGAACCAGCAAATTGCTGAGTGTTTTCACGTGTCACTTTAAGGCAGTGGTGTGGAATGATGGGAGATGTAGTCCCACAATAGTTGAAGTTCCCCAGCTCCCAAATAGGGTGGGTGTATCACCCACTCCTCATTTATATCATGGTTTGTTAACAAGTGTTTTAACAAACTACAGACTTCATTTGAAAGAACTCTGAAATGAATCAAGTGTGTGTTTGTCTTTCCCTTACATATTTTAATTCAGTATGAAAAAGGCTCAAGCTTTTTTACTCTTTAGAATCATTAAATTACAGTACAAGCCATTTTTTAAAAAAAGGTTCCCAACTACAAATATTTTGGCAAGGAGACTGATTCATAATGGAGGTAAAAGAGGAAGATCCTCCAGTTGCTTTGTTTAAAAGGTGCTAAAATGTGTGGGGGTTGGGAATTACTATTTGATAGAACTGTAACTCATTTCTTGCTATTCATAACAATATTTTTCACAAAGAGAACATGGAGTACACTGGTTACTTTTCTGCTTTTTCTGCTTTCTTTGCCCTAAAAATCCCTACTTTGTATGTGTGCTTCTAATCAAAGATGTTAGGCATAGTGTTGGCGTTTAGTTAGTTGTATGATATTACCATGTATTACCTGTGCAGATTTTGGCAGTGGCTATGCATGCCATCACAATGTTCCTGCAGTATGCCTGTTCTTTTCTGCAATTCTGGTGTAGTCCTGCTGAGATGTATGGGTTGCCTGATACAGTTAAGAAGATTATGTAGAGACAAAGTAGAAAGCACAGAAGTGGTAGCATTCAAACTGTGCATTTGCCACTGAATTAATTAATGGTGTTGTTATTGAAGTGCCAGAAGTGTCTTTTATTTTGAACAGAAAAGCAATAGAAATTTCAGTGTTATAAGCTGAAACAGAGTTTGCCATGGACTGTGCAATATGTAATGGATTTTGAACTGAAATCCTCATAATATTATAGTTCTGGGTTTCCAGTCAACTTTGCTGTGGGTTTGGGGATGGATTGCTAATTTTGCAAAAGTGTGTTTGTTTCACAATTCAGATAAATATGAAAGGATGCTGTCCAATGTTATCAATGCCAATTTATGGTTTATATAGTTGAATAGTAGAACAAGATGCCTGGGTATTTTTGTTTATCTGTATTTTACTGTAAAGCTTCGGTTTCGAATTATTTACTTTAAAAAAAAACAAAAAAAAACAGAGAGTTGAATCCAGAGAAGGAGGCTGTCTAATGTGAGATGCTTCTCTGAATCCAACACAATGAATCAGGGGTGGGGGTCAGGGTCGGGGTCAAGGGTGCTCTTTGAAAGCTAAACCAGCATTAAATGAGAACACTTACTAATAAGCCTTATTGTCAGAAACACAGTGTGGCAATGTTCGCCTCATGCCATGATGTATCTGCACCTGCATTTCTTACTGCATTTCATTTCATTTCGCCCTCTCAGCAGTACTACCCTTATTTTCTTCAAGACATAATCTGCTATTGCTTGAGAATTATATTTTTTTATAAATCTTATACCATTATTAGTCACCTTTATTTGGGTAATAGGAAATGGAAATGACATCTGTCAGTGGCAGATCACTAAGTGAAATCTGCACCATTATTATTGCAAACAAGTTATGGGGGGGAGGAATGCAGGTCTGCGCTAAGGATGGGGGGAAGGAGTTTTGTTGCAATAGAGCAGGGGTAGGCAACCTTTCCCCTTTAAGGGCCGAGGGACTTCAGCTCCCAGAAGCCTCAGCCATGTTGGCCAATAGTCCCATGTTGGCCAATAGCTCCTGGGATTCTGGGAGTTGAAGTCCCTCGGCCCTTAAAGGGGAAAGGTTGCCTACCCCTGCAATAGAGTCTAGAAGAAGTTAGAACAGAGGTATTTCTGGAACAGCCACAGGATTCAATTCTTTCAGACTTGTTCCAGAAATACTTGAGAGGTGGGTAGAATATGGCCCAGAACATTGTCAAGGTTTGCTATGTCCTGCATCTCACATGCCTGGAAGCCTTGAGTGTATCAGAGTTATAGAGATGCCACCATCCTTCTTTAGGCATGTGTAAGACCTTGTAGTACTGTACAATAAACAAGCCCTTATACAACTTAGGAAAGTGTTTTAGGCTATGTTAGAGCACCTGTCAAAAAACACTGAGGCTTCTGCTGCTCTGACTAGGTGACAATATCAGTCAGAGCCCTGGAGGCCTCAGATGAGGCCAACTATAGGCCTACTACAGACCATCTGCAACACTGAGCAGGCAGTAGTACTGAAGTCCTTGGATCATGAATAGAAGCCCATTTAAAATGCTGCAGTCCACTCTAGAGTTTTGAAAGAAACAACAGAATGATTAACCTTTTTTTTTTAATTTAACTTTTGGGAGATTACTACTTGTGGCTTTTAAAGTGCAATTAAAAAGCAACTTTGGTGAAAATTATTGCAGGATGCTAGCTCCAGCCCACAGCTGCTGTATCTCCAAAGTGTTGTTAGGGTGTCCCTTTTCATTGATAGGGGAAACTCATAAATAAATTCCCATCAGTGCTAGTCCAGAGGATTTTTCAGACAGCTAAGCCAGAACCATGTTGGCTGGTGGATTCATAGAGTTAAGGTACAAAAAGTAACTTTTTCAGGCTCTGTCCAAACTAAATAAAGCAGAAACTAAATGGTATAACTAATTACATAGAATTACATAGAAAGAAGGTTGTCCCCTACAAATCATAACCCGTGAGTTCCCAGTGTTATTGTTGTGTGCCTTCAAGTCACTTCCAACTTGTGACAGCCATAAGTCTAACTTCGCACAGGGTTTTCTTGGCAAGATTTGTACAGGAGGGGTTTGCCTTTGCCTCCCCCTGAGGCTGAGAGAATGATACTTGCCTAAGGTCAGCCAGCGGGTTTCATGATTGAACTGGGATTTGATCCCAGGTCTCCAGAGTCATAGTCCAACACTCAAACCACTACACCAGCTCAGTATACAGGACAGAAAATCACTGATTATGAAAATGAAGATTGCTGTTACTCAGAGCTGACCTAATGCTGACAATCCAGCATAGTTCAGTTCATTGTCCTGGAGATAATGAGTGATGAATAGCCAGTTGGCCCATTTATCAGATGCTTCAGCTTAGCGTAGAGCCTTAGCAATGTTTTACAGAGTGTTGTTGTTTTTTTGTTAGTGTATACTTCAGTAAGGACAATGCACATCCTACTGAAAGGATGAGGGATGTGTTGCCCCTAAAATGTTGCTAGACTACAATTCCCATTCTTTTTCACAATTGGCTGCATTGTGAGAACTTAATGGGATAGAGTCCAAGGACATCTAGACAGCCACAAATTCCCATCCAAGTCCTCCCATTTAGAAATACTGCTAATAATGAATTACACATCAACCATTTATTCATTTCTTCAAGTATGCTGCTAGAAGTAAGGACATAAAGCTATGCAACCCACCAAGAAGTAAGTCCCACTGGATGAAATAGGATCACATGTTTTACCCTTTCAGGTATGCCCTTGTCTGGACAGAGGAGACTTCCATATAAATGTCATGCTTTGCAAAGAAAAAATTGCCTGCACAAAAAAATAGGATATAGCTGAGGTTTTTTTCTCTTTCCTAGATTTTTCATGTACTTATTAATGAAATTTGGTTTATTAACCTGAAGAAAGATACTATGCAAAAATAACAATGAGGGGCTTTGCAAAGAAACAAAACTTACCAGTAACCGATTTTGGACTTGAGCTTTTGTTTTCTAGTTGGTATTGCAGTGTGGTTTCATTAAACCTCAATCATAAAAAAGTGTTAGAACTTTTATATCTGCTAAAATTATTACATGGCAGAAAGACACCAAATTTCAGCTGATCTAAAGCAGGGGAAATAATCACTCATGTATATGTTAAGTATGTACATTTTTATGGATGCAGATGGCTTTTGTATTGGAATGTTTCTGGATGCTTTTTATACTCAGGAACTAATTAAAAATCTCTATTGTTTAAAGTGACTGGTGTGTGGTTTTTTATATTATTAAATTGTTTAGATTGTAAAGTTGGTAGATCTCCAGAGGTTTGGATTCTTTTTATCAGTAGCAGCAATAACAACAATAGTAAAAATTGCTGTTGTTGTTGTGTGCCTTCAAGTCACTTCTGACTTATGGCAACCCTAAGGTTTCTTGGCAAGGTTTGTTCAGAGGGAGTTTGCCTTTGCATTCCTCTGAGACCGAGAGAGTGTGACTTGCCCAAGACCATTCAGTGAGTTTTCATGGCCGAATGATCTCCAGAGTTGTAGCACAAAGCTCAAACCACTGCACCACACTGGCTCTCATTCTGAGTTGCAGGGGCAGAGCTCAGGAGCTAAGGGTTGGAACGTGCTGAGATGAAAAAGGGTTAGCCATGCCTATTGGGCCAGAAGAGGATAATATATGGCCAGCCAGTTGGAGGATTTGGGTGCATAGTTTGGATTACAAAAGACTCTGGCTCTCTTGGATACTAGTTTTAGAGGGCTATACAGCTTTACGGGGGGGGGGGCACCAGGAGCAGAGCTCATATCTTTCATTGAGCTCCTACCCACCATTGCCTGGTTTGTCTTTTAGACTTCATGCACTGTTCAAACCTAATGATGAGAAATTTTTTTTAAAAAAAAATGACTATCAATGAGAAAAGAATCCTTATCGCTCTATAAGGAAATGTTCATTAGCCACAGAACCTCAAGAAGCCAAATTATCTGTTGTCATGTCTCTCTTAGAACTCAGAGATCTGGAGATGAAGCAGTAATAATGAAAGTGCTTTACAGAAATTAGGGTATTTTTTGAAGCTTGTTTCAAATTTGTTCCCATGCAAATTGTCACGTAAAAAACCATGATAAGGCTCAAAGCTTTCCCCAGAGTTTAAGAGAAGTTCATGGCCAGGGGATGGCCTTTCAATTAAATGTGATATTTTTTTCTTGGCCTGAACTTTGAGCATATTGAATGCAATAGAGTAAATTAGACTCCTGTCTCCAAGGAACAATGCAACATCATATCTAGACATTGTTATGGCATGACTGATGAAAACAGCTGTGCAGTATCAAGAAATATAGAAGAAGTGTTCTTCATGAAAGGTGAGTTGACAAGACTGAATGGTAGAACTGTATCAGGAATCTCTTTAAGTAGCTGGCGTAATTTCAGCCCTGCTGAAATCAGTGGGATTTAAGCACTCATGGCTGCACTTCTGCGCCCATTTACATATGAGGAAGCACTACTGACTTCAGTGGGATTTATTTCTAGTAGACATATATGGATGCAGTGGCTCAAGTGCAGTGGCTCAAGTGGTTTAGACTCTGACTGTTGATTGCAAGATCGGCAGGTTGGCAGTTCGAGGCCCAGGTGATGAATGATGGGGTGAGCTCCTGTCACTAGTCCCAGCTTCAGCCAACCTAGCAGTTTGAAAGCATGCAAATGCAAGTAGATAAATAGGTACCACTTTGGTGGGAAGGTAAACAGCATTTTGTGCAATTATGCTGGCCATGTGATCACAGAGTAGTCTCTGACAACGCTGGCTCTTTGGCTTAGTAACGAAGATGAGCACCAGCCCCTACGGTTGGACACGACTTGACAACCTTGTCAATGAGGAATACCTTTACTTTACCTTTAGACATATATGTACTTTTCAGATCTGATCCTATAACACCCAGTTGGCTTTAAGTCCCATTGAAGCAATCTTCTTGTAAGCAGGCATATGTACAATCATACTGCAACATTTTAGATCCACTGAGTTCAGTGAAATTTACAAATGTTCCACACATCTGGCAACACAGCTAAATATGCCACCAGATGTCCAGTCAACAAAGAACTATAGCCAAGTATTCTAATCCCTTCTCTCTTATGAATGCTGCTGTGTTGTATGCTACTGAAATCAATGGAATTCATGGATAACAAGTCTCAAAATGAATGGATCTAGTCTAAGCATGACTAAATCTAAACCCAAACAAATATTTTTATATGTTAGCGTTCAGAATTACGTATCTCCATCTTAATCTGATTGCACCCATTATTAGTCAAGGATTGTGTTGGTTCCCTTCAAGTACATTAAACAGACATTTGACAGGAAAGTGAACTATTTATTTATGGAGTTATTTTTTAATTGTCTTTCAGCTCAGAATGGCCCTAAAGGTATTACAATTTAGAACTTCAAAATCACACAGAGCAAAGATTTTTAAAAATTACAAAATTGTAGCTAAGATGAACACAACTGATGAGACAATGGGAGTGTGTTTTCTTAGCACCTTATTTAAAACAGATTCTATACACACTGACATGTATGTGTATTTGTCCTTTCTATTGTTTTTACAGTGAGACTTCCTTAAACTTTTCAAACTTTTTGACTACCATTTTCACATTTTTATAATTGCTGTACAGTGATCAAACCTGCTCTCAGGACCTTAAAGCAGTTTAGAAAGGTGTTATGGATTACTCATGAACCTACTCCTATACTTTTCTTTGGCCCAAATGTCCATAAACTACATAGTAGTATTATTATGACTTCTTATTTTATCCTTTTCCCCAACAAAATACTGTTTGTTCCCAAATCAATTTATTAAAGCATCAAAGACGCAGAAGCAAACTCCATTTTATTCCTGCCGTTGTATTGGCGGTGTAATTTAAATGAATTTAAAACATAAAATTGTTTTCCTTCTTTTTGAGATTTCCTTCTTTTTGAGATCAATGTTGGCAATTTGGGGGTGGTGGACGGGTTATGCTCACACATTAGGATGGAATGGCAGCTGTAGGGAAGGGGAGGTAAATTTGGGGTGGTACAGAAGTTATATAGTTATAGTTGACATAAACCTTGCCTGTGTATTTCACAACTTAACTAATGTCTATGGCTGTTTTAAAGGAAAATTGTTGTGTGCCTCCAAGTCATTTTTTACTTATGGTGACTCTTAATTAAGACGAACCTATCATAGGGTTTGTATGGCATGTTTCTTCAGAGGGAGTTTGCCATTACCATCTTCTGAGACTGAGAGAGTGTGACTTGGCCAAGGTCACCCAGTGAGTTTTTATGCTCAAGCAGAGAACTGAGCCCTGATCTCCAAAGTTTTAATTCAACACTCAAACTGCTACACCATGCTGGCTTATGTATGATTATTGTGTACCTACAGCCAGTAGTGGTATAGTGGTTTAAGTGTCAGACTAGGATACTGGGAGAGCAAGGTTAAAATCCCTGCTCAGCCATGGAAACCCCCTGGGTGACCTTGGCAAGTGACTCTCTCTCTCAGCCTCAGAGGAAGCCAAGGGCAAGCCCACTGAACAAATTCAGCCAGGAGGACTCTATGACAGGGTCACCTTAGGGTTGCCATAAGTCAGAAATTACTTGAAGGCACAAAGCAACAACAAAATATCACTGCCATCTGAGCAGAACCTGTGCAGGTTTAAGAGCATGTGCGAATATATCCTATTTTTAGCCTCATTTTTTTCTGCAGATCATCCTAGATTTTTTCATTCTGTGTGTGTGTGTGTTTATGTGTGCATGTGTGTGTCTGTTACCCACAACGGCCTCATTTGTTCCACCCCAAAAACTGTGGCTCAAATGTTGCTCCTTTATTTTATGTATTTCTTAGTCTCAGCTAAATAACAAACTCTCAAAGCAGAACAGAAAAAATGCCAAACGTGTCTGTTACTTTTTTGTTCATTGGCATGGATTCAATTCAACAGTTTTGCCTGGAACAGCTGGCCATTAAAATGTCAGGAAAGCCGCTGGCTCTTCTAGCGTCTCTGAAATATGTCAAAACTCAGCTTAGATTTCAGAGAAACTGAAGGAGCAATCCTCACCTTCAAGTAAGCCCCATTTAAGTGGGACTTACATCTGTGTAGACATTCATTACAGAGCTACAGAGTTGTAGATTTATCATGATCCAACAAACATCCTTGGGGCAGTTTAAAGTCTAACGAATTTTGTTTACTGTAAACTTTTGTGGACTGTATCCCACAAAGGCCAGATTAAGTTT